GGTTCTACAGACTAGGTGATGATAAGGATTTCATAGTCTTTTTAATAACCTGCTCCCTTGTGAGACCTCCATGTAGACAGACTTTTTTTCCTCTAACATCTAAGTTATATTTTCATTGCCATATATAAAGCGCATTCTTTCTTGTCCTGCCCTCAGTAGACAAAGAGAAAGAAAGTTGATTGCTGTCATATTTGCCACATATTTGGATTTTCTGAATGCCAGTCACAAGCCAGTTGGCTCTAGCAAACCTTTCTTCTTACCAAGGAAAGTTAACCACTAAATTTTTTTATTTTTTTTTTTTCAGAAAGTATCACAATAATTGTACTGTGATGGTGAACCTTATCCTGAGATATCTGGTATTTAATAAATCTATCTTTCTTCTAATCATGTAAACATTTGCACAAATGAAAACATTTATAGCTATACTGTATCTTCCCTAGTGTCATGCCCCGGCATCAAACTACTGGCTTACAGGCACCCTGTAACAGAAGACTTGAGGGGAACAGACCAGTCTGCTGCAGTATTTACATAACTCGCCATACTCTAGTTTCTTGAGTTTTACGTTTTGCAAACAAAACCACACTAAGGAAAATTGTTTCAAGACCGGATCACAACCTATGCCTCTGGCAGTGTACGCAGAACGCAACAGAACTATCCCAGGATTTGGCCCTGCTAGTACAAACACACATAACCAACATCATCCTAAGCACTGCCACGAGACCAAGAAGCAAGAACATGAAAACAGGAATTTAAAGTGAATGTGATTGTCAGACACAAGGAAATATCAAAAATAGATGGATGTTAAGTTCCATTTAGACGACATGGGCAGTATTCTCATTCCTACTGCCCTAAGCAGTACCTGGCTGCGTGAGGTGAAACCCTTGACAGCAGACAGTATTAACTGATCATCTGGAACCTGACATGGTTGAAGAGAAATCACATTTCCACTCACTTCCACATAACTGTACTTGATCCTTCCTTCCAACTATTTTTGAACTGGGAGAGCGTACCATGAATGATATAACTCCTGCCATCAATGAGGGCATACAAGTTGAAGTTAAAGTACATTAAGAGCAAACAAGGCCCTGAAAAGGTAAATAATATATTTTTTAGAAGCCTTATAGGGAAAATAGCTGTTTCCATCATTTAAGAAGTGACTGCCAATGCACCAAAAGTCCTGATGATTTTTTTCAATCATCAGCGCAGTGTTTTTCTTCTGCAACATGATCTTGTAGTTACACAGGTACTATCAAACAAACAAACAAAAATACACATATACTAAATGTATCTGCTAACTGCTTAGAATTTAAAATTACTTTGTTTTTTCCCCTGTTTGTTCATGAACACATATAATAATACCCATAACAGATTCATTAAGCAGGGAACTACTGGACTATCTGCTTCACTCAGGTTCATTGATTCTGTTACGAGTAACACCTCTATTCAGACATACACTGAAGACCAGATTTTTAAAAAATGGTCCTGACCTCTAACGTTGCTCTGCTGAAGCCCTGTTTGAACTAGAGAAGCCTTGTGTGATAAGACTTTGTGCTGAAGTTTCAAATCCTCTGATAAGTGTCCCTGGCTGTACTTCTAAATATTTTTTTTCCCAAGCTGATTTATTACATAAACAAAGTCCACATCAGCGCTACACACTGTTCAGCACTTGGGATGCGTTTTTTTCGCTCTTGATTTATGAAAACATGAAGGCCCCAAAAATAAAAACAGCTAAATTTAGTACTGCGTTCCAAATATCGGGTTTCGTCTCGATCAACTGTTTCTTTGAGGACAGCGACACCAAGCGGCAGAAATTACTTAAATTCCCCTTTTTCCCCCAGCTGTTCTAAATTCCAGCTCTAACTGTCTGCCTCGGGCACACAGAAAACAGAATACAGTTAACTGGAGTGCAACTTCCAGCTGCTTTATTTGTGTGCTGTATTTATACATCGGCGTATTTCAATAGCATTTGATTTGTGAAAAGTTAACCTGGATATAAAGCTCATCTACTTAGCACAAAATTGGAACAGATTAAGGGAAAAGATTTCTGCTTCATTTACAATACACTATTAGATTTCAGATCCTTTATGGAAGTGCGGTATAATGAACTGCTGAGGATTGTCACGGAGAAGTATTTTCTTGCATTTTTACATTCTCTCTCTGAGGTGTTAACAAATTCTTAGTTTTTCACCTTTATTTTTGCTGATAGTGAGAAAAAATGTCCTTTCACCTCAAGCATGAAGTGCTGACTTTCCCATCTTGGCTTTGAAAATCTGCTTCCTCATAAAAAATCCAAAGTATTTTTAGAGGCATTAATAATACCAGTAACAATTAGATAAATATGGCACTGAGAATAGTTTGGTGGATGTAAAGAGAATGTAACTTGTGCTCCAATAAATACTAAGGATCTCTTATTTTTTACACCTTTATTCCATTCCTTCGTATTGCCCAGTTTTCAAAAAAAACCCAATCCATGTCCTCAATAGACTCATCACTTTTTCTACAATTCACTGCAGATCACCACCACATAGTAGTGAGAAAAGGATTTAAACTAAGAATACTGAAGTTCATTCCCTTTCCTCAGTAGTACTTCATGAGTTCTATTTCCTTATATGCAAGAAAAATTTTCCTGATCCAGACAATGTATCTCCTGGCACCATGCTGAAGGCAATGGCAAACTATTTGCCTTTCAGAAATAAACCTGAAACTTTGGCTTTGATTCCACACAGCAAATGCAAAATACTTTCAGACGACCCAAAACAGTAACAGAAAGTAGACCTGAGGAAACTGCAAAAGGGGAAGGCTCTACTGAATGACATTTTTGCCAGAAGTCCTATCTTAGCTCAATAAAACTTCTATATAATGAGCTCTAAATGTGTATTTCACAAACATGGCTATGTTAGATACCACTTATTTTGAATAAGGATACTTAGTTCCACTGAAGTAAATAAGTGAGGATATCTTCTGCACAAGTAGAATAAAGAATTACTCAGAATGATCAAGGGTCTCAAAGTCTAGCCCATAAGGAACTGCTAGCTAAATTAAAAAAATTATGAAGTGCTTTCACTGAAAATTGATTTTTTAACTAAGTTAATACAAGTTATCTATGCCAAATATCCATGCTAAGTTTACGGTATTTTAGAATTTTTCACCTAAGATGTCACAATTGTTGACCTTTTTCTGGAAGCCCGTCTAGCCTATTCAAACGATGGACCTTCTGTGCTGCCAAGTGACTTATAAGTAGACTTATTTTATACATCCTCTACAAGCTTTAACAGAATAGTACCAAATTAAAAGGAACTATGTCAATACGTAAGTATGTACTTATGTCTTAACAGGATCAGCGCTCATACAAATACAGGTGTCAAGCCAAAGATGTAAACACTGCACAAAGACTATGTTATTCTTGAAGATTAATTGCTCTTAAGAGGAAAGGGGAAAAAAAATTAAATCCCTGACACATGTAACTGAATAAAAAGAAAATATTTTTTACCTCTTCAAGATCCCTTTGCTCCCTACCACCTGTGCCTTTAGAAGACAGTTACAAGTCCATGACAGTTTAGAAAACTTTTTTCATCAATGTCAAAGTAAAAAAAAGACCTTCCTTTATGATTTGTCCTATAAGACTTCCTACAAAAATAAATTAAAAGAGATGTCTCTCTTCTGAGGAATGCACCAGACACTAGAGTAAAAGACAGTTCAGAGTATGATTACTACCTTCATATCCTCACTTGGAATCCTTCCACTTTCTTCTCTTCTAGTACTTGCGTATCAAAATATTGAAATTAATTATAATGGCAGTGATTACAAACTACAAGATGATTTTATTCTGGCACAACTTGTGATGGTTTTTCCATACTTTTACCTAGTATATTTCAATTACCCAAATCACCCTCTACTAGGACTTTATATTACAAGAGCGCTCTCACTAAAACATTCATCTTTATAGTGTTACTGAAATTTTTAGTGTTATAACCAGCTTTCCTATTTCAGTACTCTCTCATTATGAAGTCTTCACGGATTTGCAGAGTTAGGTGGTTTTTAACCTCACAGCCAACACTTCTCCATCTATTTCTCCCTTTTGACTTCTTCTATATTATCCTTTTTATGTGGGATTTGTTCTCTCACTCCTCCATTTTTCCACAATTTTCCGTCACCCTTCTCTGTGGCTAGTGAGCTGTACATTTGGTGGATCAGCACTGCTTTTCCAAATACCTGTTTGTGAAAGGGGGATTCAGAGCTGAACCTCACATTTCAGTCTTCTATCATGTCACCAACAGAGTCTTCTCCAGGTTTTGAAAATATAATACCAAAAAGCCAAGCAACAAAAAGACACACCATTTGTTATGGATTCTAATCCACCAGAACAGCCTTACAAAAATATTTAGGATCTACACTTCCTAACTAGATAAGTAAATCCTCGTAATATAGTAGTCTGTCAGGCACTTAAAAACTTTTCTAAATGTGGTTCACAGGATTTCAGTACCCCAACACCTACTGAAGTAGTTAACAAAAATCCTTTCTGCTATTTCCAGTGTTTAAAACAAAAGTACTCTCTGCCCCCAAGATATTTATGAAACAAACGCAATGCTGCCATGCTGCAGAAGCCATATAAAGGGATAAAAACGAGGTGTGGTTTTATAAGAAAAAAGCTCCCTCTAAGTGTCATTGATAAGGCAAACATACTTTTGTGCACCACTGTCACTTACAGTCACAACATCCATGTCCTTAGTTAAATCACTTTTTGTTCCCGACTGCTTAGAATCTAACTTTGAAAGAAACTTTATTTATAGAAGGTAGCAAGTTTTATTTGAAGACTGTGCATTGCATTTTAACTTCACCAAGATACATGAACTGTGCACTCACATCACTAAGCCTGCTAAGTAGTAAGCTATTTCTACTTCTACTTGGCTAAGCATCAGGAATAGCAGTGGTTTCTGGTTATTCAAACAGCAGGAGCTAATAGGAATGCAACAGCGTCTACAAGCCATGTTAGTACTTACATCCAAGCTTCCTTCACTTGTAGATGCAGAACTAAAAACATCCTCCTCACCACAATCTCTGTTCATCCTCAAGTGTTCTTCTGTCTGCAACACAAACAAGTATCCTACACAGCAGCAGCAAAGGAAACAAAACAGCAAAAACATGCCAGAGCAAAGCATCAAACCTCATCACAGAACCAAGACAAACTGTCTCAGCAGTGCTGGACCTGATTGCTGAGAAACCCTGAAGCAGTCTGCAAAACTTCTCTGATGTAGGCAAGGCCCTAAGAAATCCACTAGTAGAAAGATTTAAGAACAAAAAATATAATGAAACAGAACAATTCTTGGGCAAGGAGGAAAACAGGTACTAAGCACCTCCTGTAGCACCAGGGACCAGATTGCAAGTTTCTGCTATACCTACGGACACAGGGGAACAAGCAGGGAACTTCTTCCCTGCCACTTGCCAATGACAGGACTGCATCTGTGTGCTAGCATATAGCCTACTGAAGCCTAGTCCCATGATTGTCTGCACAGGACCTCTGCTCCACTGGATTGCTTAGCAGTGCCAATTTGATCTGGATTTAGCCTCAGGCACATGACTACATTTCACATCAAAAAGACACGGAGTTCATGCCACCTTTATGTTTTTTATGCCAGCTGCAGGAGAACAGAGGGCAACAGATCCAGCATTAAATTAGACTGGAGAGAACAAGATGATACCTCATCTGGCATTAAGCCTGCCAGTACAAAGTTAACCAAAGAGATACTTTAAACAAATTAGTATCAACCATGAGAACAGGACTCCGCTTTCACAGTGTTTTTAATATAGCAGGAAGTTTTGGGGGTTTTGGTTTTTGTTTGTTTTTTTTTTTTTTCCAAAAAGTTAGGTGTAGTGTATTGTCATACCATGATTGTGGCTTTCAGTGAGCTAGCTGAGGAAGAAAGCATGTGCGTAGGCACGGAAGTCTGAGCGTAGGCTTGTAGTGTGTAGTGACAACTGATCCAGGACAGTTTGCAACACAGGCTAATACTCTTCTTCCCTCGCAAAAGAAACTGCCTTCCCCTCGTAAATGTGTGCAACTCTGCAGCACTACTACTGTGCAAGTCTTTGGACAATTCTTGCTATCAAATAGTTCTAAAATACAGACTACACATGACAGCATGCATACACACACTCCCAGCATCACTGCAAATCATAATGCAGACAAAGAAAAAAATAAAACAAATAAGCAGAACCAACTTAAGTCTTGTGGAGGAGTAAAAATGTAAGAATAACCATCAAGAGCAGAGTTTAGGAAGTCTGGGCCTTTGATTCCAGTGCCCTGAAATCACAGGGCATCCCATCATACAATCCCTTCACAAACCCACCAAAGCTTTTCTTAAAAGAACTCAATTAACTTGCCTACATTCTGCTAACTCTGTTAACAGTTTCCCTGCTGTTTTGGCTAGAAATCTTCCATAATACCAAGCCAGATGTATTATGGCTAGTTAACACCTGCTTGCTCCTGTGTGCTGCGCTATTCTTCAGTTTTAAGTAATTCTTCCACCTATTTGGGTTTGAACTCCTAGGTTTATTGAAAAGACAACAATTACTTCCTTGCTGGACTAAACAAGTTGATTGATTTTATTTCTTCTCCTACAGAGTATTTGTCATTTGAAAGTAAGAGTCCATTAAAGAAATGACCAAGAAATTAAATTCATTTGTCAGAACTAGCAGCAAAAAAGACACCTTTACGTCACAATTAGAAGCTGTTTCTCATACTTGTTTGTACAGTTCCTACTTTTTCCCAGGTCAAATACTACTTGTAACTTGTTAATTGATCCTCAATACCCTTAACATCTATTAAAATTTGTATTTTAAAGACCCTCAGTATCACCTCCTTTGTCTTTGATTAATAAACACAAGGAAGAGAATAGAAAAAAAAAAAAAAAAAAAGAGAGGAGTTTTAATCTTGGGATACTCATCCCAAATTCAGCTGTAAGAAACCCACTGCAATAACCACAAGTTTGGGATGCCTCATAACAACTTTTTCTCAGGTTGCAACCTCAGGTTGTAAATATTTTACAAGTTAAATCTGAGCTGCTTCAGGAGTTAGAACTCCCAAGAGCACACAATTCATACTGAAGTTCAGAAAATATGGAATCAGGGGACACGCAGAAACTGTGTGCTACAGTGTATTCCAGAGGAACTGCAGCGTGCTCTACAGGCTCAGGCTGAGCTCCCTTGTTTATGTGATTCTTCCAGGCAGCTACAGCATTATTGGTCCAGTTATACTTCTGCTCCCTTCTAAATGTGAAATGTTTTCTTACAGAGGATAAACACTCTGAAAGTGACTGACTTCCTACCTCATAAAATAGTTTCCATGTGTTCTTTATAAGATGTTAAAAACAGCTCAGCACACATGACAGGTCAGATTTTTCAACATAGTAATTCACAGTGTCCATAAAGGAAGCTATTCCCCAGTAAAAGCACAGCAAATTTGATCATAATCAAAAGGGCATAGAAGTAATAAATATTTTCGAAAGCTTTCACAGTTTTAAAAAACATGACTGAAAACTGGAAGGGTAAGTGAAACACTGGTCCATTAACAAACATATGTTTCTTAGTACCAGTTAATCAGACACACATTTTATGATTTCACTGCAAAAGCCTTGGAGGTTTTTTAAACTAGAAAAGAAAATTCCCTTTTTTACTCTGACATCCTAGAATATTAAATACTTTACAATCAAAAGCCATCCAGAAGGACCCTGACAGGCTGGAGAGGTGGGCCCATGCAAACCTCATGAAGTTCAACAAGGCCAAGTGCAAGGTCCTGCCCCTGGGTTGGGGCAATCCCAAGCACAGATACAGGCTGGGCCACGAGTGGATTGAGAGCAGCCCTGCGGAGAAGGGCTTGAGGGTGTCAGCAGATGAAAAAATGAGTATGAGCGAGCAATGTGCGCTCGCAGGCCAGAAAGCAAATCGCATCCTGGGCTGCATCAAAAGCAATATGGTCAGCAGGTCAAGGGAGGTGATTCTCCCCCTCTGCTCTGCTCTGATGAGACCCCCCCTGCAGTGCTGTGTTCAGCTCTGGGGCCCCCAGCACAAGCAGGACATGGTCCTGCTCGAGTGGGTCCAGAGAAGGGCCATGAAGATGATCAGGGGGCTGGAGCACCTCCCCTGTGAGGACAGGCTGAGAGAGTTGGGGTTGTTCAGCCTGGAGAAGAGAAGGCTCTGTGGAGACCTTATAGCGGCCTTCCAGTACCTAAAGCGGGCCTACGGGAAAGGTGGGGAGGGATTCTTCATCAGGGAGTGTAGTGATAGGACAAGAGGTTGGACGGGGCTTTGAGCAACCTGGTCCAGTGGAAGTTGTCCCTGCCCGTAGCAGGGGGCTGGAACTAGATGATCTTTAAGGTCCCTTCAAACCCAAACCATTCTGTGATTCTATGAAAATCAGTTGACACTGATATTAGTAGCAAAGGATACATTACTTCTATGTTCTTGAGCTAGAAAGTTTTTCAGTATTTAAACTCTGTGATGAATGACAAATTTTTCATAAAGGCATCTCAACAGAAGAGAATTATTTTATACAAAATTTCTTTTTTAAATTTTTCAACTCAAGATTAAAAACAAAGTTAAAAATGCCTAACATCTACCCCAGTAGATACTGATCCTTCAGTTTACTACAAGTTATTTCTTCTACACCTGAATCATTGGGTTTACAGACTTGCAGATGGCAACAGCATGACTGTACAGAGCTTCCTAAAGATATAGATGTTTTAAAACAGATTACCACCCATAAGACACTACTACTTCATATCTTAATTGTTCTATATTACATCAGTTCTCTCATAAATGTCTTTTGTAATATGAGCACTATGAATAAGTGGACATAAGTTGCTTGGAACTACTGCTCTTTGTTAACACCTACTGAAACGACAGCATTTAGGAAAAAAAAAAAAAAAGAGGAAACAGTCAATGTGCCTGACTCCTCCAATAAGCAGCTGGTATCTCCATAAGGATGCACTGATTAAACATAGTTTAGAGAGAGAAAGAGAGAGGAGGAGTGAGAAGGAGCGAGAAAGAAAAACTGCAAACGTCACCACTCACAGACATAATACATCCAGAAAGAAAACAATTCTCTTTAGTGAGGTACTACACTACTGAACACTTACCTTGCTGCTTCTTCTATCAGCTTTAAATAGTCCCAGAAGTCTTGTCTTTTCTTTTTCTATTGCATCATTGCTTACCGAAGCCTTCCGACTTGGTTCTGAAACAATCATAACGATATTTTTTACATTTCAGAAGATCAGTATTTTAAAACATCCTGGATTAATGCTGTGTTTTTATGAGCTGGAGATGTTATGACCTGAATTTTCAAAGTAACTGCCAGATACTGCACTTTCGCTTTCTTCAAACTTTTATTTGTTCTGAGTTTGTTCAAAATTTCTAATGGGGGCAAATGGAAAAAATTAATAAACTGCAGTAAGTTTTCAATCACAATTTGGTAATCCTTATTAAAAGGCAAAATATAAGCAAGTTGCTTAGTCTTCAGAAATACTTGTTAGATGTCTCACTTAAAACTCACAGAGCACTGTAATACTAAAAGAAAAAAAAAAGACTTTTAAAAAAAGATGATGGAGTATATCTTTAACAATTCACAGGTCTGACTTAAGACAGTGAAGTTAATGGAAAGACTTTCAATGTGGATTTGGAAAAAGCTCCATGAAGAGAAAAGAGACTTTTCCCTTGGAGAAAGGGCTCTCCTTAGAACTTAAACCAAGTGGTTGTGCTCATCTTTTCTCATCTTGGTGCTTTTACTTCAGGTGGGAAGAGAGGTGAGTTTATATGCATTTCAGGCTGTAAGAGCTCAAATATGCATGTCCTCCATGAAACAGCCAAGCTGGATGAGCAAAATGACAAGGTCATGCATGACAGGAAACAATCATTGGTTTGACATTCAATATACAGGTGGTAAAGCACTCCCACTTTTTTTTCAATGGACACTGCAAAATGGTATAGAGATTTCTCCCTGGTTCCAAGCACAGAGTATTTCACTAGCAACCATAAGGTTAAATGTACAGAGAAAAATTGCTTTCTTCTGTAAATATTTGCCTTATTTGTTTAATAATAATTAAAAAGCAAATGCAAAATGACTTGTTTGTTGACACAAAATAAAGGTTTACTTCACAAAAAAACCCTCATCCCAGAACTCCTGTAAACTGATTTGCATTTCACACAAAGCACATGATTTTCACACAGATCACTTTTGCGTATCAACAATGTCAGGTGTTAGGTGTTAGGCACATACAGTAGTTCAAAGCACAGTAAAAGACTAAAGATGATGAACCCAGAAGAAAACATGGAGAAACTATCCTTAAAATAGGCTGCAACTTCACTGTAAAAAAACACAGTAATGTATTCCTCAAATCCTAAGCGCTGCCTATGCTCCTTCACCAGAAACTGCTCTTTTTCTGCTCGGGGCTCGGCTGCAACTAGATGTGGATCATGATTCCCTTACATAGTCTTCAACTATGCACTATGACAATGAAAGGCTAGCATAAGCTATGTCAGCTGATCATCAACATTACCATTAAACATTGTGTCATACCAATAAACTGGGATTTTAAACACAGCATATAATCTCAAAACAACAAGGAATCAATTTTCCTTAAATAAATAGAGTAGATATCCTCTCTAGTATTATGGTCTGTATAAGAGGAGGCCACAGCAGGTAACGATAGAGGATTAGGGGGAAAATCACTGGCATTAGTGAAGCCGAGATGCAATAGGCCATGAGCTAAGATTCATTCAATGGCTGTCACCTACTGGAGGTGGACTTCCTTCCTTCCTTCTTTCCTTCCTGAACATTTAAAGAAGTTATCCACAGTTTTGATTACATTGTGTTTACCAGTAACACAAAGAAGTAAAGCCAGTTATAAATCAACCATACCTTTCTTGAGGATAATTAAAGCAATGTATTATATTCAGTAAAGGAAAAGGATATACAAAATATACACATTTTCTGTTTAACTAGAAGCAGAAGCACCAATGTAATCTAATCAAACCCCACCTACTGCAGCAATTCAGAAGTCTGCATCTATTCAGAGTTATCCAACGTGCAAACATGTAAATTGAAATCAGTGGAAGATCCCATAGATCTCAAAATATTCACTCTTTGCTACTAAATAAATTCTGAACCCAAGAGACCATTGAAATGTTAGTGTTTCTGAAATTCAACTATCATGCTTCAGGTAACCTGAAAAGACTTGGAATCTCTATAGAAACATGTCATACCACAGAACAGTTAATTGACGGTATTTGTTAATTGCGGGCATTTTAATGGCACTAAGAAGCAACGTGCACGGAAGTGTGTTTGTTCTGACCTAAAAGCACAGACATGTAAACAACACTTTGCAAAAGACAACACAGATCAAAACCAGCTTGTTTATCTACAGCATTTTACATGACATTCCTAAAGACCCATTTACCAAACCCACATTAAACACAGTGTGAAGGGAAAGATAGTTTTCCCTCAGCAGCATTGTACAGTACCTCTATAGTTCAGAGAAGGTTCAGACTGAGTTTTTGACGGAGGAACTGGAAAAGGCAGGCAATGAAAGGACAAGAGAAGACATATTAAAAGTTTTAATATTGCCTTATAAGCCACAATATTTATTAAAACTAGTACCTGTTTTCTTAAGCATTACAGAAAAAAAAAGTGTTGACTGACAACAGACATGCAGAGCTGCTACTGGAAGCAGTTTAGCTGCATTTGTATTAATACCCGATTCATTCATGAAGCTGCTTCAACTGCTAAATCGAATTAAGTAAGCAGGTGGCAGTAGAGCTTGTCTTTTAATAATCCTTCAGCACTTGGTATTTCTGTTTCAGGGAAGGGGAGAATGATGAGCACAAAGTTGTTCTAGAACCTGCTCTTAGAAGCACAGCCTGTGCCTTCAGCACCTCTGATGCCTTACTCGTTAGCGGGAATGTGTTTTAAAAACCTGTCTGTTCTGATAACTAACCAGACTGGACATCTACTCAATGCACAATTCATAGACCAACTGCTACTGAAACCAATGGGATTAATCCTTGTATAGATTACAAATGACAAGAGGGGAAGAAGGAATTTGCTGGAACAAAGAAAACCTTTTGTAAATTTTATTTGCTGGTCTTCTCATCAGACACCACGTTCAAGGAAGGCAGAAATACAGTCAGGATCAGCGGTATTTTATCCTAATGAAAGATATACTGAAAGTTTAAAAAAATAGAAGATAAAAATATTCTGATGCAGAAAGCAGCACACTATGAAGTGTTACATAATTTGCCGCTATAAACCCAACCCTGAGTAAAGTCTTGGTTTTGACTGTACAGGCTACAACTGGATTCGAGGACCACTACTGCACCAGTATATACACCATTACTTTCATTTTAAAGGAAAAGAGTTTAAGGAAGGCTTAGGCTAATGACTCTGTAAATTGTCCCTGAAGTATGCTGAATTAATCCTGTTGAATATGCCACATGTTCAACATGTTCCTCCAAAAAAGTTAGCTTAATTACAGTAAATGTCTTAAAAAAACAAACAAACATGCTATTGAGTTATGACATGTTGTCTGCCACTTTTTTGAGCATCCTAACAATTCAAAGGAAAAGGAGACATTTAGTTTATTTAAAAGTCTGTAAATTCATTGAAATTTGACTCACGCAGAGGTAGAACTGTCACTTACCAAAGGAGTTTGAAAGAAGAGACAGAACATCAACATAAATAAATAACTCTATAAATAAAAAATAAGCCTGCTGCTCAGCACCTACAAGACTGACGTTATCCAAACAATAAATAAGGACATTTACTGTGCTGGAAGTGATACCAATTGAGACAAACTGCAGGGGACAATTTTAATGAATACTACTTTCTGACCTCAAAGGAAGTACTGCTTGTCAATGTGTGTTTTTAAAGCAGGTATATTTTAAAGCACATTGCATAATTATGCTGTTTGAATACACAATCAGGCTGATAAAACTCAAGCCCAAGAAGCTGCCACTACAACATCATCTACTAGAACAGAAAGTGAGGGTGAATAAACAAGAGAATAAAATAAATACCGATACCTCTTAGCTCCTCTTCACTAAACCATCAATAACTGCTCTTTGGAGGAACCTCTCTGAAGCTATCCACAGCCTGCTTCTCATAAGCCCTGGTCTGTTGCCTCTGCCTCTCAGCTTTTGCAGCTGCCGTAACTATGGCATGTCTCTTCTTTCTTTCTCTCCAACCCACAGCACAGGTAGGTGACAGGCTCTGCCTGGATGAGGCCCCTGTGTTACACCGACCTGTACCAACAGCAGCTCCAGGAGGTAGCAAAGCTCCTCCTTTTGCTCTGCCCCAGGCCAGCCTGTGCCCTGCCAGGGGCCAGCCCAGCCTGGCACGGGGCCCGACAGCAGCCAGGGATGGCTGGGCACGCTGCTGTCCTGGCTGCTGCTCTGGGCACAGCTCACTGAACAAACCTGTGCTGCTCTCTGGACTGAGATGTCACTCTGCTGTTTCAGCTGGACCCCAAAGGAAAGAGAGCGCAAACGCTTTTAAGTTGCCCATAATATTGTTGGCACATCCTCTAACCCTGCAGCAATCACTTTCAGTCTCAGCTCACCTCTTTTTCTGTCCCAGGCATACAGTTCCTTTATCCCCAGCTCCTCCAAGGACTTAGTAAGCTCCAGCTCCTCCCCAGTGATGCCATCACGCAGAAGAACAATGTGCTCTTGACTGACTTCACACTTCTCACAAATAGCTGGGATGATGTTGTGGAGAGGCACCTCTGGACTAACTCGAACCACAGCCTTCTGTGTCTTCAGGTAGTTCACTACCAGCCTCACAGATTTCTGCAGAAACAAACACAAACTCTCAGCCCTCCCTCCGTGGTGGTTACACTCTCTTACAATAAGAAAGGCATTGAGGACTTGCATGTCGTCTTGAGTCCTCCTAGGCAAACTTACACCACATGCATACTATTGCAAAAAGTATTACTAAAAAATATTTTACAAAAGTAGCTCAGACCTCCTCTCTCACTAAGGAGACATTCACAAGAACAGCCGAATAAGGAAAAAGAATCAGAGGCAGACGTAATTTGTGAACTTTTACAAGTACCACTCTGAAAGGTGTGACAGTGTAATTAGAGATACTGATTCAGAACAATAAAAATGTCATCGAACACATTTGGAAAATGGCTACTTTTGAATCTTCACAATATTGTGGAATACATTTATTAATGGTCAGTCTTCTCCCGTATCTTCAATAAAGATGGCAAACAGAATACCACCAAAACCCTACCGACCTCCACACAATCCCACAACTCTCATTTCAGCCACTACTCCATATTTCAATCACTCTGGTCTTCAATCAAGGGTCTTTACAAGAACATGTTTCCATCTATCCAAAAACATGCAACATAAATACAACACATTTTGTCTAAATGCTGGAGTCTACGCTGGCATCTGCCAGTCTGCATGCAAATCAGTTAAGCTAGTAAAGCAGGTTATAGTCAATCTCAAGCCTTTCCCATCTGGTTTAAAGATACAAAGATTGGAAGAACCGCTTGAAATCATAGGAATGAAAGGACGTTTCATGGCCCCATTTTTTAGCCCTACAGAGTACCAACCTCAGGGACCCTTGGCAGAGGTCGCTTTGTCTTCTCTTCAGGAACCTTCTCCTTCAGAAGTACCGTCTGTACATCCAGTGCTCCTATCAAAGTGTTTGGCTTGTAACTCAGAAGTTGTTGAGTTTCTGAAGACTTCAGTTCAAGACTATGCTGGGATGGATTTAAACGATACTGGCTGCATAAATCAACCAATAGATCCATCACAGCTTTACTGCAGGGAAGAAGATATTCATCATTAGCTTGAGAAAAAACAGTTGCTAAAAAATTTACCTCAGTTTTAATATGGGAGAAAAAAAGACAATACAAGCTGTGGATGTATCACTAGTAAACCATCTTTGGGAGGGAACAGTGCAAATGCTTTGAAATGCTAAACAGATCAGATAAAATGTTAGGAATTAAATTTATTCACACTTCAGTGTTTATGAGCTGGCAATTAACTATTCACTATGAGGCAGACAACAGTGCCAATAATAGCACTGAAAACCTAAGCCAAGAGTAGAGAAAGTGCATCTTACCTGTGAAATCCATATATTAAATTCTCCAATTCAAACCCTGTTCTTCCGCATGAAGACAACATATAAATAATTGATGCATTCACAGTACAGTAAACTCTACCTAGATTTGAACCATCACACAACACAACTCAAAATGGAGCATTTAGATCTGGAACAAAAGGTAGAGAGGATTTTTTTCCCAGCTTACAACTTTGAGTTCTGCCCCCCAACCCCAAATCCATTTGACACCTGCAATGTTTCCAAGTACAAGAGATCCCTTCCTTATTTATTTTGGTAAGGATACTTACCCTGTATAAAAACATCTGGTTTCAAGTACCTGCATTACCAAGAACTCTTATTGCAGATGTGATTCTTAAACCATGAGGTTAAAAGGATCAGTCACCACCCCTCTCTTATTCCGTGCCTCTGCATGGAGGTACTCAACGTTCACTGGAACTTGATACTGCCTGACACACCAGATAGGAACTATGTTCCTCCACACCCCAGAAACTCTCTTTATCAAGGTACTAAAGGGCTCTTTTTTTTTTCCAGTCTTCCTCCCTAAAATTCCATCCAGGATTAGAGAAAATAGGTTTATTAAAACTGGTTATAGAAGCACAGAATGTATTGGATTGGAAGGGACCTCTAAAGGTCATCTAGTCCAACCCCCCTACAATAAGCAAGGACATCTCTAACTAGGTCAGGTTCAAGCTGGACCTTGAATGCCAGGTACAGGGCTTATGTTTCTGAAAAGTTTTGGTTTCATGAACTAGCACCTGTAATCAACAAAACAACATAAACTGAAAAAAATTACCATCCCTACCTGAAGCCTATCATATACATGGGATATTTTTCTTCCAGCAGAAGTGAAAATCAGTGCATAGACAGCATATTTGACAAAGGAATTCGCATCTCTTCTAATGTGTAAACTGGAAAAGCTGTATACAGATTCAAAATGCAAGCAAATTCAAAGAAAATAAAATCCATCACAAGTTATTAGCTAGCACCACTACATCTGTAGCTCAAGAATTGCCCTTCAACTGCAAGCTGTCGGCATCTGGGAAACTACTCTGGGGGGCGCTGTCCATCTTCTTTCCAGGTCCATGTTGCTGGCCAACAACTGCTCAAGAAGTTGGTGGAGAACCCTGGAGAGCTAACGGCACAGAGAACAAGAATGGAAGATGAAGAACAATCCCTTATTAACAGGCAAAAGACTGAATCATACGTAGGTGACAGCTCTTCATGTGCAAGAGATGAGAAAGGACCCTCTTTACAGTAATCCCTTTCAAGTTTCACCGAGTTACACAGTGTGAGCTGAAAACGTGGCAAGCACGGAAAACTTGAAATAGGTGATCCCATTGAAAAGAGAAGAACACAGATGATGACTGAAGATCAAACAAGGAAAACAGATGTCATTAATATGTATAGGAGTCTTCAGAAAAATAGAGCACTGCGGTAACGGCTAACATAGAGAGCATCTAAAGAGAAATGTGTAGTATCTAAATTGAAACTGAATCAGGTCATTTCATGGTGACTGATTCTGGCACTGTCCCCAAGCTGCAAACATCTGTATTTCACAACCATGTTTAATTCATGCATAACATGCCACAAACCAAAAGAAACATTTACACCTACTAAGTCCAAACTATAGGAGAACCCCACCTACACCAACATTTACATGAATATTCATTAAGCTGTGCACAAGAGAGCATTTAAAAAAGTGTCAGTCTGCCTGATACAGATCTCAGCTTGTCTGTTTACAGACATATTTCTTTTAAACTAAAACTTGCATGGTTTTCTCCCCCCTCAGCCTTATTACTACTGTTTCAGAGAAAAGCAAATAACCTGGCAGAACTGCAATACATGGTATTCTACATGCTAGATATTTCTGTTTAAAGTGGAACGCTAATATATTTCTGTAGTGCATAATATTGTAATAATTCATTCAAATTTGGACAGTTATCTTGCCTCATGTAAACTATTTCATTAAAACCCACTTTTTTTTTAAAAAAAGACAGCCTTGAAAAAGGATATTTATTTTTAAAAAATATAGTTCATCAAAAGAACAGTTTATGATCCCATGCACCTTCCACAAATTATTAAACATGTTGAGCAGCAACAGCACCACAATTACAACAAGATTAGAACCCACACCAGACTTCTGAGACAATAAGTTGCAGAAAATTATGTAAGCTGAACAATTTGTCCAGACAATGAAAAACTTAAAAAATTCAGCCAAATTGAAGGTTTCATTTTACTGCTGATTACAGAGCAGGTGTGTGTTAAATATAACACTTAAGGAAGTATGCAACATCCCCTCCTGAGCCATGCTGCTCAGAATACACACTGTTCCATGAAAAGCATCCCCAGGTTTCATCTCTATCATTTAGGAGTACAAATTAAGCAACATCTCTCAAGCTTCTGAAACAACTTCAAAGTGAATACAATGTTCTTCCTAAAATAATTTCCACAAAACTTAAAAAAACTAAGAAGAAAAAAAAGGGGAATTCTACAAACAAAATTCAAAATTCATGCGTTTCTAGAAGTAAGAGAGCTGGGAAGTCCTTGCAATGAAGTTACTATTATTCAGATTTCAATTTCACTATGAAAAATTTTCCTTCTAAACCGCAATCGATTTTAAATGCGAGTTTTATTTCAAGTAACTCCATGTATATGCCACACACAGAAGAGATCCTCTAAACACAGCAAGAGAACAGTACTGAGCCATCTACTGATCTAGACCGACTTTTCTTTCTAACCTTGAGCTGAATATGGCTCTTGGAAGTTTGAAGAGTCAGTCTTTCCTTTGCTTCCATCTTGTTCCAGACATATCTGCGCTTTATTTTAACCTGCTTTTGAGACCTGGTAGAGAGCATACTTTATCTTGAAATTCAGGCAAGTCTGATCATAAAGGATTAAATCTGAAGCTGAAATGAAGGTGTTAAATGTCTCCTGCCTTTCCAACCACTCAGCTAAGAAACACATTACTGTCTTAACTTAGTAAGATGTTACTGAAACTTTGGGTGGAGAGACCAAAAACTGTGTGACAGACACCAAATATTAATGACTGATAAGCAAATACTTCAGCACAGAAATAAAACTGCAGGATGAAACCAATTTAAGATTCAGATAAGATGGCCCAGACCACTATTCTTAGCAAAGGAGAGCACTTTGGCTCTGTCCTGATACTTTATTACTAAGCTGTTTGATATTTACCACCAATTCTGGACAGTAACGAATAACTACTTTGTCAGCAGCATTTATCAGGTTGAAGTCCTGTTCAAGTTTGAATGCATCAGACCACTTGTGTCCTGTTGTTCACCAGTAAAATGCCGCAAAGACATCTACAGCTTAAGAGGCAGAAAACTAAGTTGCTCTGGGTGTGGCTTGACCTAATCTCCTTGGATCACACAGAGAAATCCATTTTAAAATACATGTATAACATCTAGGAAACAAATGTGTAGGATAAAGTTGTAGTCTCTCAAATGACATTGACCTTCCTATTACCTTCTACTTTCATGCTACATATGCACATGAAAAAATTGCATACTGGAGGAAAGAATCTTCTTTATTTAGGTCAATGCCAAACACACATTAGGAATCTAAAGTGACCATTAGAAAAGAAAAGAAAAGTAGCATAAAGGGGGTGAACCGAAGTCTCTGATACTTTCACTATCTGCATTTAAAAGCAGAAAATAGCATTAGTCATTATTATTTTCTCATGCTCCAGAGCACAGCAGGCACTTCATGAAAAGGTTGGAAGTTTTCCTACACAACCAGAAACGTATACGCTAAAAACCAAGTTGCATCAAAAGAAGTACAGGAAGCATGATAAACGGATATTCATAAATGCTTTCTATTTCTTTTCTTACTTTTCTCATGTATTTGGCTATTATTCTCCATAATTGAGCAAGTTCACAGAAGGAACATCAAGATGACATACAAGAAGAGGCAGAGGACTTGTTGAGCCTTAAGATGAGAAAGGTGAAGGGAGATCTTGTTGCTGTCTGTAAGTACCAACTGTTAGGGTTAAAGAGCTAGACTCTTCTCAGCGCTGAACAGCAAGAGGACAAGAGGCAAGAGACAAGTGCCAACATAGGAAATTCCATTTAGGTACAAGGACAAATTTTTTCACCACGAGGATGGTCAAACACTGGAACAGGGGTACAGAGATGTTTAGAAACCTCCTCCCTGGAGGCATTCATGCTTGCCTGGAGACAGCCCTGAGTAATCTGATCTTGTGAGACCTACACTGAGCAGGGAGTTAGAGCAGGTGAGTTCCAGTGGCCCCTTCCAACATACATTATTCTGTAAATTATTCTAGTAAGGTCTTTTTTTTAAAAAAAAAAGTATACATTGAACTACTGTAGTTTTGACCTGACCCCTATTTAGTATTTATTTAAGCTCGTTTCTAACCCTTTTGCTGTATGTGCCCTGTTCATCATCATCTAACACCACCTCTCATGTTCATGTTTTACCAACCTGAGCTGGTTTCACACCTTCAGTCTTTCTTGACACTCCATTCTGTATGTTGAGCTATAAACCCACAATTAATATCACTTAAGAGTCTTTCACTGAGAATTATGTGAGAATATTCTTTCTGTGATGACATTAGCTTTATGCTCCATATCATGTCTGTCCTCCAGTATTTGCAAGAATGGGACTAGAGCTTCAGCTAGTTTATTATTTGTTCTAGTAGCCTGCTCTCTGTGCATCACATGACGACAGAATTTGTGTAACCTGTAAGATAACAGCAGGAGCAACAACTGTCCAGTCTACTCTTCTACACATCGGTCCTACATGTGCTGACAACTTCAAACCAAATACCACCTATCATAGAATAATAAAATGGTTTGGGTTGGAAGGGACCTCAAAGATCATCTAGTTCCAACCCCCCTGCCATGGGCAGGGACACCTCCCACCAGACCAGGTTGCTCAAAGTTCCATCCAGCCTGGCCTTGGACACTGCCAGGGAGGTGGCAGCCACAGCTTCTCTGGGCAACCTGTGCCAGTGCCTCACCACCCACATAGTGAAGAACTTCTTCCTAATATCTAATCTAAATGTCCCTCTTTCAGTCTGAAACCGTTATACTTTGTCCTATCACTACCTTCCCTGATAAAGAGTCCCTCCCCGTCTTTCCTGTAGGCCCCCTTTAAGTACTGGAAGGCTGCTACAAGGTCTCCCCAGAGCCTTCTCTTCTCCAGGCTGAACAAGCCCAAACCACAGAATTTAGCTTCAAACATCCCCATTTTTCTGTGATGTATTTCAAATTCTACTAACTTCTCAAGCTGCTGACAGCACATGTCTGTATCTGTGTTAATCAGCAAGTCCTCCTCAGTGTCACTCAGCGTGAATGGAGACAGATGCATGATCCCTTTATTTATAGGCTATTCATTGAAAGTATTACTTGTTAGCATCCCAAACAGAAAGTTTCTGGTAACTCTTGCGAGCTTTTCCACTTATTTTCTTTCTAAATGTTTAGCTATCACCTCTGTCAGACCTGCTAACAAGTTTTTGTGGATCTGCTACAGGTCTATATGCATAAAACGTGTAAGTGGCCAACGCTCTGCCTATCCTTTCAGCACATCAGCTAGTGCTCATACAACAGTACAAATACAGATTAGTTCTAGAGCTATTTTATAATCCTTTTCAGGGGGGAGAAGCCTAACTAAGTTTTTCATGAATACTTTCACATGTTTTACAGTAGAGTTCACAGGGACCAATTATGTCAAAAAAGAAAGCTGTTTTCTCAATGCTATTCTATTGCCGCACACATTCCTTAAGGATTCAACTTTGTCCTAAAATCTGCACTACATACTTCCAAAAACTGGAATAAGTTGTGTGTTACAAGATGGCAATAAACTCTTGAAGACAGCCAGCTTGAGTTAACTTTTATACATAAATCTACTTCAAAAGTCCAGATTCCAACATAATACCTTTAAATAGCACGCAATTTCTTTTTTTACTTGAACTATCTTTCAAGAAAATTTAATGGGAATTTTCTTCCCTCTTGCTGACATTTATAGGAACTTTCTATATTGAGAACAAAGTAAAATTAACAACATGCTGCTTTGCTTACATACAACGAACAAACTGAAAGAGATAATTTTTACTTTCAACTTGGTTCATTTATAACAACCTTAAATGACAGGACAAGCAACAATGGGCACAAACTGGAGCACAGGAAGTTCTGCCTCAACATGAGGAAAAACTTCTTTACTGAGGGTGGCAGAGCACTGGAACAGGCTGCCCAGGGAGGTTGTGGAGTCTCCTTCCCCAGAGACATTCAAAACCCACCTGGACGCAGGTCTGTGTGACCTGCTCTAGGTGAGCCTGCTTTAGCAGAGGGTTGGACTAGAGGATCTCCAGAGGTCCCTTCCAACTCCTACCATTTTGTGATCAGTTATGTTTTTAAACATCCTCTAGTGTACTTCACTGCTCTGTGAACTGCTTTCCTGAAACTACAGAATCATTTTTCATTATGATGATGCCCAGGGCAAGGTTTTGCAAATCTTCCTGCAACAGAAAAGCTATTTCCCCAGGGTACCAAAAAGCAGATTTTGCAGAATGCAGTTTTAATGATGCCAATAAAAATACTGAAGATTTATAGGACTACAAACAACAGCAGAATTTGTCTGAAATGTCCTTCCATGATATCACCATAGATAACAGAATATTACCATAGAATTTATTACCTGCACTGGCTCCCATACTTGCTTCAGACTAAGCCAAACACATTTTATTTTAATCCAGTATCTTCATCATTAAATGTTTACCTGAGTATCATTGTACTTCTTAGCTGTTCAGTTCACAATGTCAAACAATGCAAAAAAATGAAAAAGCCTGGGCTTTCACCCAAATGTGTAAACTTAAGACAGTTCATGTCCTAAAAATTTCAGATGCTCTGGACATTTTTATTTTTTTTCGGTTTTCCACACCCCTAAAAACGTAACCAGTGTTCATGTACAGAAAATGTCATCTTTCAGTGATTAGAAAGAACAGCAGTAAACATGAGTTCTGTTCATACTGATGCCACCGTAATACAGGGCTCATTATAGAGTATCCTTTTCTCATTTCATAACTTGATAGGATGATTTACTCCCCTCCTCCATTTCCATATGCTTCCACTTCCCACAGCTGGCTATCAGTGCCTGACATTTGTCACTAACTCTCCACTCAAAACACTCAAGACAGTGCTGAGGGAGAACATCTACTACCTAGGTTAGGCACTGGTGATACGCAGATTAGCACAAGCAGGAATTTAATTGCTGCCTACATCAGGGGCCTAAACCTCTTGTGCAGACAGTGGAGAGAAGTGGGCACCTTCACAGAACAACAGAGAACGTTTTGGTTGCTTTGAGCGCTTAATGTAGATGACATAAATAAACCCACAAAAATGTCTAAGGTTTAATTTTCAACATTTTTTTCAGGTTTCAGTCCACAAACTAAACACACTAATAATCAAAATACTCAGTCTCAGTGTATGTGATAGCAATGGTAGTGAGAACAAATACCTGTGCTTGAGACAGAATGTTTATTGTACAGGGACTTTCCATTTGTTCTCTGATCCTGTTACTTGTTCTTTAAAAGGTCACATTAAAACACCATTCTTGTAGTGCTCTTGGGGTGTTTGTTTTGGGGTTGGTTTTTTTTGAGGGAAAAGAATACCTTTTCTAACCATATGGCAATTAGGTATCTCTCTATACAAAATGCTGCATGAAGATTAACCTCTTGTTAGCTTCCAGGTGGCTTGCATTTGCCTATGAAATATCACCTTTGGGATCTAACAGCCAGTGAGTTTCATGTCCTGTTCTCCTTTCCAGGCCCATTCTCTTCTTTCTCTCATTCAGTCCAAATCTCCCCATAAACACTCACTAAATGAATAATTTGAGAACTGTGATAAACACTGCTTTCCTTTAAAACCTTTAACACCACTTTAGGGCTAACCCACACAAGTTGCACTAGTCTCCTGAGAGTAGCTAAACAGACACTAATTTCTACAAGAAAAGTAGGGGGAAGAACGAAGTACCAGACGTTGCTGTACACGTCCTCCTCAGCCATCAAATACACTAATAGACAAACAATCAAAATAGACTAACACATCAGACCAAAAAGAGTAGTTTTACAGGAATGCAGACTAACTACTGTAACCCCCAAATGTAAAATAAGCACAGACCCTGGCTTATCAACAAGAACCTACATATCCTTCTAATCTGGTATTATCACTTTTTACAGTTTCTTGACCAGTGCTGGCCACACCATTATTTGCTACAGTTTCATCATAGTATTGAATATATTTTTTAAACTCTTCCAAATTCTTTCTTAAAGTAGTAAGTCTCCCTCTTTCAAAGTAGTTCTCACAGAGAGCTTAAGGAGAAGACAGAGCTCCCATGATGATAAAAACTATCTCAGAACCACCTTTCCCATACAATTTGCCTTCGATTGTATCCAGTGACAAGGAGAACTCCCTCTCTCTTCCCATGGAAAAAATCAGTACACTTTTACATAGAAAAGGCTTCCTAAATACCAGCAGATGCTTTGCTGTCTACACAATCGCAATGTATTCATGAAGGCAGGATCTCTGAACGTGATGAATCATTCATCTTCTGAGCTTGCTTCTCGGCATGACTCCAGGCAGGCATACTGTCAGGATTGTTGTTTGCCAGCAGCGCCTACTTCTACCGCACCAAAACCCCTCTGTGTTATGAGATGTGATACAACCTAAGACTAGCCCAGTGGCACTACATGGAAGAGATGGATCCACACACATGCTGAAAGTGATCCGTGGGGAAAACAGTGACACAATAGCTGTTAAATCCTTCCTGCCCCAGCAGAGAGGGTCTTTTATACATAACTCTCAGGACTCTCTGGTACAACAGTGGACTAATATGCAGAGAGAAGACTGGCAGAGAAACTCCAACAACTCAGAAAGTGAGACATTAATATCAGCAAGCATCCCACTGGGAATGGAGGGCTCCAGAAAGTGGGAGCTAAACAAAGCCTTACCTTCCTTGTACTGTGCTCTTCTGCTCCACCCCGTTGGGTAAAATAACTGTGAAGTCCACCGATTTGTTTATCATGTTCTCCTTCATGCTCACGATGTTCTGATCAGAAATTACAGCTGCCTCTGAAAGTAGCTTGTGCCCGCTCTGAATTCTACTTGCTGCTGAAGGTTGATTTGGTGGAGGAGGAGCACGGGCTTTCATTCTTCTCCTTGAGAAATAAAGGTAAGAAGAACATTAATAATTTCTGGCAGTATAGTATAAACACGTTAATAAGAAAATATGTTCTTTCAGTCATAATCTTAAAAAGTTCCTCTAATGCAAGACATTTTTCTTTATCATGAAACTTTTCAATGGAGTTGCATTTCATTTTTACCTCCCCTCTATAAATACGCTGGTGTTTCAATGATGCACTCACTCCTACTGTTTGCTTTCCATGCCCCAGAGGATGAATCAGTTCCATAATCAGGATATGAAATAATCATTATTCTGTCAACTATGGAGCATGCTCCTATGAAGAAAGAAACAGAAATGCTGGGTCCAGTCCAGACCTGACTCTAGAAAGAGTTTTATTTACATAAATGAGGGTTTCCTCCAAGTCAGAACGGCAGGAGTGGAGGCAGGGTGAAGTTTCATTCAGCTATATTTGGGTTTCACAGTATTACTCTACTTGAAATATTGTCTCTTCCTCTGCTCTGAGTAAGTAGCACTAAATCCGGCTCATCGTACTTCATAGGGAAGCACCATGAAAAGGTCAACCATGAATGATATCACTTCTTACCATGCAACACTAAGAGACTATAGCTCTTTGAAAGCACCCTGAAGAGAACTCATTCTTCAGTAGCAGGCTATGCGCCATGCGTGACATACAGAAAAGCTGCCATCAACTTGCGCCAAACAAGCAGTGTACTTTACAGAGATGTAAACCCACCACAAACTCAAAGTTTACTTCACTGGCAAGCTGCCAGACAGATAAGCAACATATGTGTGCTGTTAAACTTCTGAATAGCTGGCCACTTACCAAGCACATGTCTAAGAGGATTAATTCTGATGATTAATATCCCAGTCACTCCTTCTGACTGGATTTATGCCTAGTTTAAATCAGATTTTAGCGTAACAGATGGAAAAAGCAGTAAAACATTTACCAAGAAATTATTTACTGAGGCTTTCTGCCTGCTTTTTTTAAATCTGCCTGTTTTTAGGGTGCACAAAAAGAAGAGATTATGATTCTGCACATCATTTTCACCCTGTAAACAACATAAACAGAGGTCCAGAAAAGAACAGTATAGAAAAAGGCACTCTAACCCTTAAAATCCTGCAAAGCTCAGTGGTTGAATCGACCAAGGACAAAACTGTGTTCAGGAGGAAAAAAAAAAAAAGTGAACAGGATTAATACTAAACCAAACTCAATTAGACACAACCTGTATTTTCACAGACAAAAGACTGAACATACAGTTTGGATTTCCAATGTAAGCTCCGGGCAGTGAAAAAAGTAAACGCTACATCACATTACCAAAAAAAAAAACCAAAAAACCCCACCCCAAAAAACCCACAACAAAAACCCCAAGAGTTCAGAAACAATCCAAATCCTCTACACTTTTTAATCAGTATTTGCATTTGACCAACACTTTCTGTGACATGTCTCAACTTGCAAAAAATCACTACACTGCCCTGAAAATGTACATTTCAGTGAGACTTCAGCAGTTTTTTTTCAGCGGTGACGCGGACACTTTCTGTCATTTCCCATGTGCATAACAAATTGCATTCTCTACAAACATGCAGGGAGAGCTACTGCCATATTTACAAGCGTACAGCAATTTCTCTTTCATGGGAAATTTTCCCCGAACATTCACTTTTTATCCTATATACACCCAATGAGTCATGCAGTTGTCAGTCACTAACTTGCAGCTCCTATGCTCCTCCCCATGAAGGTAATGACAAGAAGTTCAAGGCTTCACTGTTTGTCAAACTACCTTGACTTTCCATATGTCCGTGAACCAAACTCTTAATTTATTTATAAAAGAAAATAAAAGAAATTAGGATTCATCCTCTTTTCAGAACCCTTTATGTTTGGCTACAGTTGTTATTTGTAAGCAGGTGGTGAGAGACATGGGAGTTTTGCACAAATCCAGCTCATGCCAACGGAGCTTTACAATCATGTGGTGCAACATTTAAGGACTTCAGATCAATTTACAAATGATGTAATTCTTGCCCTCCATAACATCAACTGCACCAATATAAGTAGCTACAGAGATTCACATCGACTTGTTTCTTAACACAAGCTTTTCTTTTTTGTTTTTAAAGCTTGTCCTATAATATAGGTGGCAATTCCAACACAGTGCTCCTGACAAAGTACTGAAGTGGGTGGGAAGAAAAGAAGCAGGTAAGTGCTCTGAGCCTGGCAGAACTGGGTGTTTTTTTTTTTTAATTATGATTAACCTGGACTTGTAAATTCAAGATCTCACAGCAAACAGAGCTAGAGGAAATAAAGCAATGGTAATAAAATAAACATGAAACTGAAACCTGCTTAAACAGAAGACACTTGAAACTTCAGGTGAGAAGTGAAGAACAATTGAGGTTTGAACCTGATGAAGGAGCTTGCAGTAAACTGGGAGGATACTACACGTGTTTGTCCGTAGCAATAAATAAAGCTGCAACTGGTTTTCTGAACAGACAAACAAGCTCAGACACTTTAATACCAATTTAGAGCTCTGATATGGGAGTGTAATTTTTATTTGGCCACTTCTTAAGTACTCTTTACAGCCAAGTCTTAGTTACAGACTTTGTACAACACTGCTTGGGGCTGAGGCGGGTGTGTATCAGGAAATCAGGCATCATACCATCAAAAGCATCAGCTATACATTGACCAGTGATGTTCACTTTACCTCCATAAAATACGTAACAATGCATATTCTTTTTGGCATTACATAATCAGGGCCTTTCAGATACTACAATCCTCCTTTTCTTTTGCACAGAAAGGACAGTAAAGGTCTGTTTCCTTCAGAGACATCAGAGAAAGGAAAAGAGAAAACATTCCCACTACAGTCTCTCTAACCTAGCAACAGTTCAGGTGACCTCATACGAACTTTTCCACAATAGCGACTACATATTCTCCTGAAACACTGAGACTGCTTTAAATGCCTGGTTTTCAATGTTTTCCGAATGACAGATCTCAGACTATTTCAGTGGAAACAGATCACTTTAAAGTTCACATTTGTAGAGCGATACGTGGCACAGATTTGCATTTCCTAGCCAACTTTCTGAAACATCTCAGTTGTAGAAAGCAGCTCCATGAACTGCAGACTGAAACCCACAGCTCTAGCTCTACCTTGGATCTGCACGAGCAGCTGCTTTCTGAGGGGCTCCAGCAACTGCAGTCAGAAGGTGCTGAGAAGCCTGTTAATGCTATTGAATGCGAGTCAGAAAAAGAATTCAGCTTTCTTTGTTAGAGCTACAATGGTTATAAAGGACAATACAAAAGCACTCCACAATAAAAGCCTTTTTTTTTCCCCCCACTAAAATAATGCACAGAGAAAGTGTGTGATTTAAAAGCCTGTTTTAAGCATGGGTACTTTCCATGCTGTAAACACAACATCACTATAAAAAGTTGCAAACCATTCTTCAGCATGAGCTAAATTCAAACTAAATTTAGCTCAACAGCAATTTTTCCTCCACAGACATCTTTCACTGTGCTCGTACTGAAATACTTGTTAAGCCTCCCTACCTGCTATTAGTCTGTGGATGAAGTTACAAGCAGGAACACTTCAAACACATGATTGACTCATGAATACTTCAATCCAGTCCTTGATTAGGAGACACAGCAAAACCAAGCAGCTGATTCTAATACATAAATGTACAGTGCCTTCTACCAAGGCTTGAAATAGTTCATCTCACTTTACCGTAAGCTGAAAAAATGCATATAGCCATGAAATAATCAGGCAGAATACATGAATAACCTACCAGCACTGTTCTCAGTAACAGCATCAGGCTTCTCAAATTGGAAAAGGAAAAACAACAAGAAAACCCATCAACAAGACCAGTGTTTCTGTAGTACAGTACATAGAAGAAATGCAACAGAAATGAAGAAAAGCTTCACTAGATTAATAACTTCAAGACAAGGTAACACAAGCCCTTTGGACCTATGCTTTATTAATATATAACTACCAAGCAACAGGATGCAACCTGGACTTTACAATCCCACGCTGAAAAAACATGATCTCTGAGAAGTCCTGGGAATTCCACCCACACTCACAGCAATCCTATACAGAGATTGTCTAAAAAAAAAAAAAGGT